TATATAGCCCATATATGGCAGTACCCCCTCCCCCCGCACCACTTCACTCCTTTCCATTGCTTCCACCTCGCCCAGAGAAATAAATAAAATTGCTCCTATTCCTTAAATTAGTGTCACTGGACATTAAATTGATGTACGTTTTATCACCTTCTGCCGAGATTATTGAACTGAGATGTGGTCAGGTCATTTCAGCAAAAGAGAAAACCTGCACCCCTAATCCAACTTAAACTCGATCTAGCTGTCCTGCTCAAAGTAATAAAATACTTTGTTCCTATAATTCCTTGATTTGGGACAATGGAAATTGGGTTGAGGTGTGTTTTTTGAACTAATACTGTGATAAAAGAATGTGTACAGTTGCCCCTTCCCCTCTGAAAAAATTGCTGTACATGGGCTCAATGACAACACGCCCGTTCAATAATCTCAGTAACTGACTTCCGTTAAAAAAAAGGTTAAGCCCGATCCCCTTCTTTTACATTTGTATGTCCCAATAAAGTTACATTAGACTAAAGACCTGGAGTTTGAATGAGATGTAGTAGTGTGGTCATTGAATCATTGTGTTTTAACTGAACTATATACTTTATTCAACCTTCATTCAAACATTTTTAGTCTTGCAATAGGGTGCCATTATGCCAGACATCCAGCTAAATAAAATTAGTAGTGTAACAATTAATCAAATTCTCGATTAATCATGATTATGACCGTCCAATTCAATTCAGGATTCTTTGCCTCCACGTTTCGATTTTAGTTCGATTTTTGCACACCTTTTCCAGGGTGCCCTCAGTGAGTTATTATGTTCTAAAATAAGAATCCAGAACTCTTTAATGTGACGAGCAAAGACGATAGCAGTTCGTGCGCCATTTTGTGTTGCCTGGTAAAAATGCTGTCCTTCAGCCTCCCCTTGAGAATTTCCAAATAAGGCAATTAACCATGTGCGACACACTCTTTGTCAGGTTCTTAAACATGGCGACGAATCCCCATGGGGGATTTCAAGTGTCGGGGATGATGGAAGGATTTTTTGGGGTATGAAATTTTCGATTCCGGGATTTTTTGGGGTACAAAAATTTGGCAAGTTTTTTTTGGGTAGCGTGATTTGAGTAGGGATTTTTTTGGGTGGGTATTAAAAAGAATCGGTAGTGCCCTGGCTACGTAGTTCTGCGAATAAAGTACAAACAAATGTGTTTTGCTGTTGTTTAATAGTTAACGATGGTGTCGCTTTACATCGCACGTCTGCATTGTCCTGTGGTACCCGGCCGTCTACAAGACGTCGACCGCTTCAATTCAGTCAATTGGCTTTACCGTCACTGGAATCCTCTTTTGCTTTAGTGAACTTTTGATTTCTTTTGCTTGTGACTTGTGAGTTTCAAATGTGAGGATCACTGGAACATTTGTTCCTCCCCCAATCCGCCAGCGACCTTATTTTTGGTCCAGGGATTTTTTTGGGTTTTGTTGGAAGCCCTAAGGATTTTTTTGGGTCTTGACTTTTGGCTCCATTCGATCATCCCCGTCACTGAAACTCCCGAGTACCCCCCCTGGAGACGAACCAAGCAACTGTGAATCCTCCTGTCTCTGTTATTATTCTTATATTGAGGGTTTTGGGTTGCATGCTGTTTACATTACGCGTTATGTTATAAGAATTAAGAAACGTTTACGTAATTGAATCGAAATAATCGAAATCGAAAGGCAATAATCGAATCGAATCGCAAAGAATATGAATCGTTACACCCGTAAATAAAATGAAATAAAGTTAAAACTAATGATAGCAATAACAAAATCTCCTACAAAAGATAAATCGATAAAAATATTATAGCGTTAATTATTGTACAATATTAAAAAATGCTTAAAAAAATAAAGCTACAAAAGACTGCCTTTATAGCTGGAGATTTTCGTTTCCCTCATCAAGATTAATCCGGACTCTGCAATAAACGACCAGTTACATACTAAATTACAAGACTTACCCGATACCCGTCAAGTCATCAAATGTTTTGTTAGAGGTCTTCGATTCGCAAGAATCCAGAGAATCCTCTGCAGCCTGTCGATTTTTTCTACCTCAGGTTTTGGAAATTTTGAGACATCCACCTGTCTACTCAAAGTTTACAATGTTTACAACAATACGCTACTAAAATTGATAGCTTCCAAGACTTAAAAAGACCAAAAATTGGGCCATGCCAACAAAACGACTTTTTTGACAAGAAAACGACACAAGATCTGGCAGGCGCTTCGCCTGCCGTCTGTACCCTGCCCATGGTCCCTTGCGGTTCATCATCAGTCACTTGTTTCGCGCTCGCCCTTGCCATGCGAAAAACGAAGCGCCTGAGGAGGAGGCTGTATTTGACTTTCTAGTCGCCGCCGCATCTTTATCTTCTTATTAAATGATAGCATCCCAAACGGTTTTTTTTTTTTGACTCATCGGTATACGTAGTTCCTTCGTTTCTGGTTAGGAAAGTAGAAAATAAAAGTTTCCCTTGGTGAACCAACCGGGCAAGTGTGGCAAGACAATTGCCGTCGTGTACGAACTCACAAAAAGAACTCAGGAGAAACTGTTCGCCGATTGGGCACAATAATGCAAAGCATTTTTTGTGCCCAATCACGAGCCGGCATCCGCTTGAATTTTTGGAAATAGCTCGGTGAAAGTCGGTACCCAGGGGCTCTTTCACCCGTACTTGAAAACTTTCGTCGCGCCCTTTCTCCCGACCCGACTGACTGCCCCTGGGTCTCCGAGGATGGAATTATTGCTAAAAATACTCTCAAATCTGTTGAGTCCATTTTAATATGCAATTTTAATAAAATGTTCTTCTACATTTTACTGCTGTTTAAAATTCTGATACCTTAGTGTGGTTACTAATGTTGTTACATATATTATTGAAATGAAGCAAACAAAGAAACAAAATAGGTATCAATATTAAACAAGCAGAAATATTAAGGCAATCCTAACAAACGTATTCAAAATATCAGAAACTTTTACATGGCAGTATTAAATGTATCTAACAAGATTGTTTTGTTCTTTTGTTTGGTCGTTTGTTTTTTTTTTCTTTCATGTTATAAATCGCCGCTAACGTTAATATTGTTCAATAAACTCAACCTGTTCAACCGTCATCATCTCTTGCTCTTCAATATCTTCATCACTGCTCTCCTTATCACCTGTCCCTTCACAACTGCCCTCTCCATCGCCGCTGTCGTTGTCAGTGCTCTCTTCATCTGTGCTTCTTCTACTGTCGTCCTCACTTTTGTTGAGATCCTTGGCTATTGCCTTTTTCACAACTGCAATCAGGTTCTGAAGAAACTCACTTTTGACGTTCTTAGGAAGGTTTTTGTTCTTGAGGATGGCTTTAACTCACTTAACTTGGCGAAGCTTGAAAATCTGTACCTTGTTCACTGCTTTCGTATGAAGGAGAAATGCTGGAAAGAATCTTGTCGATATTAACCGACATCTTTTCACTTTCCTCGTCCTTGACTTTGTTCTTCCTTCTTTTCCCCGCCTGCTGTTTGTTTTCAGGTTTCCTCTGGTCGTAAAGTTATAAAATTGCTTGTGCTTTTTGACCAGATCTTCTATCTTTTGCTTGATTTCTCGGACCTTTTCTTCATTCTAGCGAACGGTTCCAAAACACGTTTTACGGAACTGGTACGCACATTCATTACCCGTCTTGAGTTTATAAGTGGTCTTGGAAAATAGTATAACGCGTCTGCATTTGAAATCACCTTGCGAACTTTACTTGCACTTAGGTCTATTTCTTTTCACTGTTTTGAGATCATTTTGCAACATGGTAAGATCTGTTGGTTTCAATTTCAAGTATAACTGATGTTAAGAAATTTGCCGGCTGATGCAGGATTTTTTTCGTTTTCTCTATATATACCCCTCGCAAAACTGGCATCCATTAATCTAAATGTCCAGATTATGCGTGGCGTGAAATTGAACGTTAAGAAATACTATCTACACAACAACTGCCCATGAGTCAATAATTTGAATGCTTAGTAAGGCCAAAATGCTTAAATAACAATGATAATAGTAAAAAACATAACTTTTTATCGTTTTTCCCCGATGAAAGCGTTTCCTTTGCGGTCCGCAACTATTTGTAAAGCTGCGATCTAAGCAATCCAAACAATCTTGTGATAGTTTTTGTCTTGTTTGTTCAACAAATTAAAGCCTCGGACTCTCAATAAAAGGGACATCTGTATGTACTCGAACGCTTTAGATCTATCTTCTGGTGAATAATTACATAAAATCTTACAAAATTAAACATATTCGGGAAAGTGTTTCTGGCCGATTAGCCGATAAAACGCGAAGGACGCGAGTGAAAGGTAACTTGCAGTTTCTCGATTAAGCGGAGGACTTAGAGCTATTTTCCTTCTGATTTACTGATCCTTGCCTATTAGGATTTTTTAATACCCAAGCTCTAAGCGTAACATCTTGAAGCAATAACTTTTGATGTTTTAGAATTGACTTCTGTTTGACAAAAAATGTTCGGTCAGATCGATCATACGTAGAAATAGCAACATGCGCATAATTCTTCGGTTTTCAAAGAACTGACAAAGTAAATACAAATTATTTTTCATCTGTTGAAAAACGACGCATCTCTTCCACAAGAAATAACTAGAACCTCCCAGACTTACAGGAGACAAAACCAGTCCACGTGTCCTGCGTGTTGCGCATTTCTTTCGCGTTGCGCTCGACTACCTTGGATGCGCAGAAAATGTGCGCAGTAACAATAGTGAGCACCGTCCTTAAGCGTACTCGCCAAACTCAGTTGCTAATGTTGTTAAACTCCTTGTGAAGCGAGGCAAAAGGTTAGAGATTTATGATTTTGTCATTCACAGAACAGGCTTTACTGGATTATTAAGAGGAAACCAAAAATAAATTTATTAATATTGAGGGGTGGTTTTTGTAATTTCCAACCTTGCAATTGCTTTAGGTTGGGTCAGTCATTTTTGTGCGGAAGGGAGGGGGTGGGCCATGTGTTTTTTTTTATCAACCACATTCCAAATGCTCTTCTCTCCAATATGGTATGGCATGCCTATTACTTAGGATACATCACTGCGTCACTTGTAATCCTCTCTTAGGATGTTCCAACTACACATACCTCAACGAGTCCAGCAGAGCAATGACATATAACAGAAGTATTTCTTACCTATGCGATGCAAATCTTAACGGATGGTACAGATTCACTGGAGAGGCTGGAACGCAAATGGCTGATTCTTGTGTCAACATGTATCGTTGCGGGACCGAGTCACCTGGATGGCTCAACGGAACTCATCCCGACTTAACTGATGGGGCTGTTAAACGCCAAGTGTGTTTTAGCTCTTTTGACAACTGTTGCCATCATTCACATGAAATAACTGTACAACATTGTGGAGCATTTTACGTTTACAAACTTGAAGGACAATCCCATTGCAATCTGCGTTACTGTGGAAACGGATCGCCATATGCACAAGGTATTAACAAAAATAAAACAACATTAAACAATCGTTTTATTTCATTGTTTGACAGGCGTATTTTCATGCATTTTCCAATAAATTTTCAAAAATTCATGCCTTCTTTTCAATGAAATTGCATTTTCTAGCAAAATAAGAATTAAACACTAAGCAGTTTGTAAGAAAATAATATAGAAGCAACTATGGCTCATAAAGTAGTAATTGACGCTGAACAAATAGACAAGAATTTGACAGATTGTACTTCACGGAGTTTTCCTTTCTTTCATAGAATGCTACAATTACAAAGTTCTTAACGAGACCAGCAGATCGAAAACATATCATGGATCTTATCCTTATCAATCTGATCGTATGCTGTCGACCGACTGATACAGATTTAGTGGAGCAGCTGGAAATCAAATGGCAGAGTCTTGTGTTGATAGGTATCGTTGTGACACATATTACCCCGGTTGGCTCAATGGAAGTCACCCTACATTAAACGAGGCGGCTGTTCAAAGAAGAGTGTGTTTCGGTTTTCACGGCCACTGCTGTATCAATTCGACTTACATCAGAGTCCGTAACTGTGGAGGCTTCAACGTTTACCAGCTAAAGCCCTTAACTGTATCGTACTCACGTTACTGTGGCAACGGATATGTATCATCGACACCAACGACGCCAGGTACACTTTTTCCTTCTTTTTTTTTTTTTTTTTTTTACATCCTGAAAAGAACGCATTAGGTATTTACCGGTGAAACAAATAAAGTACACACTGTTTACCGTCATATGGTGAAAATGAACGCCATTTTTTCTAGCGTATGGCCACCCTTACTCCCCACAAATAAACCCTCTAATGAGAGAATTAATCAAACAGCCCTTAACGACAACTGTATGGTTAAAATATTGGTTTTCCGTCCTGAAGTTTCTAAGTGAGCCTAAAATGTTCAATTTACACCCCTAAAAGAGGCTTCAACGGAGGGAAACAGCTTCCCGCACAGGACTAAGAAATCAGCCCCAGACCACCTGATTCTGAAATTGTCTGCCTATCTGGAGCTTACTACGAGTTTTTCTTAGTTTTTCCTATTTTGCACTTTACAATTGTGCCAAACATAGAAAATACGCTCTTGGCTGAAGCGCTGACGAAAACTGCTAAAAACATAATATAGAGAGGATATTACATGGCCGCGCGGAGATATGAAATTTCTCTTCGAGTGTTGAAAAATCTTTCACGAGTGAGCGCAGCGAACGAGTGAAATATTTTTTTCAACACGAGAAGAGAAATTTTGTATCTCCAAGCGACCATGTAATGTTCTATTTATTATACAAAAACCAATGAAATACCAAACCATTTTACTTAATTAGTTTTTGGTCTGAAAGGTGTGGTTTATTATGAAGCCTTAGCAGCGGTGATATTTTCACATGTGAAGATAACTTATTATTTTCACATGTGAAGATATCAAGGTTTTGCGCGAAAGCTCACTTGATATTTCATTGGTGTTTAATGCGTTCGAGGTACGAGAACGCAACCCCTAATTTGTGTTTGTAGCTCGGCGGCCGTTGTGTCACAACGTAAATCTACCGAGTTGTGTAGCTTGGCAGCCGTTGTGCCACAAAGTAAATCTACCGAGATGTGAAGCTCGGCGGCGCCATAGTTTGATCATGACTTGTGATATTTTCCGCACCGGACAAAGGAACACTTTAACTCTATGTTATTTATTAGGAAAAACTTATAAACCAGCCCAGAGTAGCGCCACTCTCGAGTTACTGAAATCAACACGCACGCTCGACCAAATTACTGGAAAAGTTATTTTTACGTGAGCCGCACACACATTCCATTGAAGGCCCTGACAGGGGTAGTGCGAAGTTTGAATTCAGATGTGAAAGCTTTTAAAACAGTAAATTTCATTTAATTCATTTTGTCAACAAGTTGATGATTGGATGCTCTTAAAAAAAAAAAAAAACAGAGAAAATTATCCGAAGAAATGTTTTTGAGGAAAGAAAAAGAATCCCGGGTTAAGCACAAATCAGCCTTTGAGCAACTGCGCCCTGTAATCGCGCCAGTAAAACAAAATGTTCTATTTACACGCCCGACGCCGGCCAATGTCTCCTCCGATTACAAGCACTTGACACTGAACCATACGATATCTTTTCAAAACCTTCTTATAATGATACACAGTTTAAATAGAGGTTTCGCACTACGCAACCCTTACGTTCAAAATATGCCATAATCATATTTATCTATATCGCGACCACCCTTCCCCCTCAACTGCTACCTGTACGCCTAACGAACATATCGAACACAATCTCCTAAGCTCCGATTACTCCTAGTATAAGAAATAGAGAATATTACATGGCCGCGCGGGGATACGAATTTTATCTTCGAGTGCTAAAAGTATGTAAGGTAGATACTTTCAGCACTCGACGATAAAATTCGTATCCCCAAGCGGCCATGTTAATGTTTTGTTTATTTTACAGATACTGATGAATTTCCTACATAAAACAAAACTTTTTTTTTTATTCATTTTCGAAACAGCAAAATAGTGCAATTAAAGTGGTCACCTATCGCAAAACGCCTATCGCAAAAAAGTTATGAAACTCGGATATCAAGTTATAAAGGAGAAATAAAGACAATAATACTAGTATATTCCTGTTCCAAAAAGTCAAAATTCTGATGAAGAAGTGAAACATTTTGGCTTATAATGTTAGTAACCACGGCGACACTAATGTCCTCACACGTGAAAGATAACAATAGTATCCTTACTGCGCTCGATGAAGATATGATTTCTTTGTAAAAGGAAAAATCCCGGTATTTCATCAGTATCTATATAAAAAAAAGTAATGTCTTCATCCCACATAAAACTAAAATATAGTTTGTCCCGCGCAGGCAACAATTCAGTGATTGTTTCAAGCTTGCTGAGGACATGCCATCACTATTGGTTGGGCAATAAATGTTGTTTAATGGATTCGTATAGAAATACATGTTAATCCCACGTTTCTGGAGAGACACTAATTTCTTTGTTTTTGTTTGTATATTAATTATTGGTTCATCAGAGTTACCACACACATCCACCACAAAAGTACCACCTGCAAGTAAGTATCCTATGAAGATTAAAGTAGAACAGTGGTAAATTTCTGATTCTACTTCAATTTAGAGTCCGCTTAAAAACAAAAAATTTGGTTTCTCCCAGCAGGGGCACCGAGCACCACAGACGCAGAAACAACACCCAAAAGTAAGTTTCTTCAGGAGGCTCAGATCACATTATGAGCTTAGAGGAGTTTAAAAACAATGGAAAATTATAAAACCGCCAGCCCCAAAAAGCTACCCCGGCTCCAGAGGTCCGTTTTCGAAATACCAACGATGAAATAAACAGTGCTCACCGTTTGATAAAGCTCCTGAGACGCGAAATATCGGGAATTAGATAAGAAAGAAATAACCTCTGGAGTCCCGGGTACCAAAAAGCTGTCGTTGTCGCGGTCGCTAAATGAAGAGAGCTGGTCGTTTACAAGAGGCTCTAATTACAGGGCTTTGCCTGGGAACGTTTCAGTGCTTTTGATACATAAAAATTATAGGTGTTTGGTCACTTACGACAGGTGGTCGCACATTGAGGTTTGGACAGTGTTCTTTTTTTTTTGTCAGTTTATGATATCAGTCAGATAACAGTTAACGTCGAAATAGGCTTCTCTGACGTTATATTTTCGGGGCTTCTAGTTGGCCGTGTTTGTCCACTTTTAGTTTAACTCATTATGTGCCGGGCACCTGAAGTAATGTGATTTCCGTTTTGAATAAACCGTAAAGATGGAGATCACGGGTTATTCATGTCCATACTGTTAACTGCGATTTCATGTCACTTCGATAATCCATCTTGGACAAACATGATTTCTCAGTTCAAGCGGATTGAACTCATATTGTTACGATCTTTGTAAAAGTATCGATTTCAGTCTCTAAAACACAGGGCTAGAATTTCAAACTTCAGAAGCTTGGAATAAAGCCTTATCAGATAGCTGGTTTTTGAGACTTTGCAATCAGAAGGTAGAAAAAGTATTGAAAACTATGCATTTACGATTACTTTGAGGAAATCTGTATTGAATGATTGAAATAAAGGCCTTGAATACAAATTTAACACTTCTCAAATCAGTTCCGGAGTAGTGATTTTGAACTGCAGTGTAAAGGTTTGATTTCTCCTCCAATATTTTTTTCCATTTTGTAAGCTAATTCTCCAATTGTAAAATTGTAGATATAAGCTTGAATATTATATTAAGTGAAATCTTGTTTACTGAGTCTATTTACAAGTGGTAGAGACTTAGAATTCAAGATCATTTGGTGGATTATCTTGCATTTAAGCTTTTTTATGCGCAAAAAGCTTAGATTCAAGTCTCCTCACAAAAACGGCTTAGATTGGAGTTTTCAAATTAAGGAAACTCAAATCTCACATAGTTGAGTAGCATTCATTATTTCAATGCTTTTTATGTTTTCATCTAATCATATACTTGTATTGGTACATTGTGAATGAAAATTATCTCTGTTACTTTTTAAGGGTTGTTTCAAAAGGCTTTAAAGTCAACTGGTTGCTCCATATTAGAACTTTATTAAAAAGTAGATTAATTGGTTAAAGAATTTCCTCAATTAGTGTGAAAAAAATGCGTGAATAGACTATAATCGGAGTTGTTATCGGCAAAATTAAGTTTTAGGATCTAATGGCTTGTTTGCTCTAACAGTCTAATGAGAACGAGCTTCAATTTAGAGATTAGATTGCCAGATTGAAAATTAGGACTTTGGGTTTAAAGAGATATTTCGCTTTATAGAAGACAATTGAAATATATTTAATTTGTAGTCATCTATTTCGTATCACTAATCTATTTCCTTTTTCATTGTTTGTAGGGGTGATGTAGAGTGAACCTGAGCATCGGAGCATTGTTGTTATAGATATTAATAAAGAGATAATTGACAGACGTGGCAGCATGCGACAAAAAAGCTGTTCATAATCAGGATTCAAAATCCTCTTCTGATCCACATCCTTCGTGTATTGCTTAGTCCAGTATTGAGGCGCAAAAAGAGATAAGATTGAGAACGAAAATGATTAAAGGGAGACTGCGAATATTTACAAATTCTTACCCTTTCCTTGTTAGCTTAAAATAGGGCGTATTGTTTTATAAAACACACGTGTCTCTCCTTCTAAGGTAGCCTGTTCTAGGCTCTCAGATTGTGGGGATGACGAACACATGTAAGTGAAAAGCGCGCGAAAAGGAGTTTTGATGGTGGTGTGCTACTCGAGCGAGAGATTTCTCAGCTATCTACTATAAAGAGTGGATTGAAACTGGTGCCATGCATAACAAGGGGTGGTTTGCAACCAGTACGGATACCGTTTCGCTAAAAGTATCTCGATTCTGCATGAGTCACTAAAAATGCAGAAGGGTGAACGCTGGGCCATGTCAGCCTGAGAAAACAGCCGACATTTCGCGACGCCACCACTAGTTTCCCCGCGCGAAATGACGTCTGAGAAACGACTGCAGAAATGCTTCACTACCCAGATCTGGGTAGTAATTCTGACTGGTCGAAGCGTGAAGCACTACCCAGATCTGTCATCAGTATGGGATTGCTGCAATCGTTTGTCAGACGTCATTTCGCGGGAAACCCGATGGTGAGGTCCCGAAATGACGGCTGTTTGTTCAGACTAAGGCGGTGCATGTTATTTACTTTTTGAGTTTAAAAATATTTCATTTACAGTTCTTTGCCTGACTAAGAAATTATTTCTCTTTTTATGTTTTTTTTTTTTTTGTCATCGACAGGGAAAAGTTAAAAATTGCAGTTTGCAGAATTGACAGTGCGATGCAGCAGAGTGGTTCACTAAATCAGCCGCCACCACGCTTTGTAGTTGATACGCTTAAGCTCAATGTTAGGTAAGACAAGGAAAACCACTTGTGAACTGTTCAATTTTGAGAAGCAAAGGAAATCAATGCTTTCCTAGGCAAATGATGCCTTTGTACAGCAGTGAAAAAGAGGAACAAGGGCAAGCCAGCTTTATTTGGGACCCTAGTATATTATAAATCACTGAATGGGTGTTGGGTACCAAGGCTCTGTGACTACACTTGTACGTTCCAGTTTGTTAGGGCATACATTAATATTTACACCTATCCACTAGAGAAGGATCGCGTTTATACGTTTACGACCTCATCGACCCTATGATGGTTAAGGGTGAACGGGGATACAAAGGAAAACCTTTGAGCGCTTGTTTAATTCAAGTGATATTTCACAGCATAAGTCAACCATACGTTTTCCTTTCCAGGCACTAATGGAAGTGGCATCACAGGATTGAACTCAGCACTGTCAGCCGTCTATGAATTACAAAGTGTCAATACACCATTATTACAATGTATCCTATTATAGATACACTGTAAAAAATATTTTCAAATAAAAATGCTAAGTTTAGTTGAACATAATACTTTTTTGCCAATTACGATAAGAAGCCTCGTAAATTTTCATTTAGGACTCAGCATCTCGTTGCAGTTTCAAAGGACGACGAGTTAAATTTTAAATTTTTACTTGGAATTTACTCTCAGCATGTGTGTGACCACATACGAATCGTTTAACTGATTTTTTTACACTGCCGTTCGTGTGTTAAAAGTAATAAATTGTGAATAAATAAATAATAGAATGCAATTAGAATTCGTTGCGAATTTCCCTTATGGAAAGTTTTAAGTTCTTCTAATTTTGTCAAAATTAACACGGACATTGATCTAAACTCGAGTTCTTTTTCTGGTATTAGCATTGGCATCAAAGTATTTTCTACGAAAGTGTAAGAACGGAAACGTTTCAAAGTTTCTTTCAGTTAACTTCACTATGAATGAAAAAGGTTAGGGGACGACAACGGGGGGAGGAACACGTTGGCAATTTTTCGTATTTCCCGGGGGTGGGGTACTCCCTATTATGACCTATAAGGAGAAGCTCCGCCCGAAAGAAGTACCTCCTTCTTTATAAAATGACGTATAAAAAGGTAAGAACCTCGGGACTGAGCCTCCCTGTATACAACTTTGTTCAGTCCATCCCCCCAATCCCCCAGGGGATAACTCCTTGAGCCCGGTTAAAACCTTTCAACTATGATAGGTATTCTCTATCAGTCTCTTTAGCCTTTGCGGCACGGATCATTATTTGCCGTTTGTTAAATAGTAACACTTTACTCGAAACAGTACCAAGCTAGGACCAGCCAGATGGCCTGAATAAGTTTTACAAAAAAAATACGCCTCCACACTTATTCGTATCGTATTCGAACTCGAATCGTTTGAAACACAAAAACACTGAATAGGTAGCATCCTTTACAGAGCATCCGCTGTATGATGTCTGAAATCACAGCATGGGCGTAGCCAGCTTTTCGAGTATTTGTAGGCCTGGCTGACTTTCATTTCCACATATTCTGAAAATTGCACGCAAGACTAAAACGCACTAACCTCAGCAACACTTTGACCTCTTAAAGCTCATAAGCTCACCTCAACAACGCATAATTTATTACAAGCGGCAAAGTAATCAAACAAAACATTTGTAGGCTTGAGCCTACAGGTCTATGGGCTGGCTGCGCCCCTGCACAGTATTCGAAAACCTAGTTTTCGTTCAGCCACACCAAACCGATAAGGAAGCGTTTTCAAGAAATTCCACTATGGTAATCGTTTTCTAAAACGTACAGTTTTGTCGCCCGAAAACTCCGTTTCGTGCGGGTTCCCAGTTTCAAAAATAACCCGATACGCGTAGACGGTGCCTAAGGCCCCGTCCACACGTGTCTGTTTTTGCTTGAAAAAGGTTTTTTTTTTTTTTTCTCCACACGTAATTAGAAGAGTTCATTAGTTCGTTGATCAAACCGTTTATAGGTAACTGGTAATATTTGGAATCAGAGTCTTGACTTTATAGTAAATTTTATTCCTAATTATAGAGCATGTAGGACATTGACATCGTCTTCTATTAGATTGGGTCCACAAAAAGGGCAATGCCTATTATCCTTCGTAGTTTGATTGTATCTACCTATTTCTATCATTAGTTTGTGACTGCTTATTCGTAGTTTTACTAAAGCCCTTCCCCCAGCTGTTCTAAGTAACTAGAGGGGATATGATTGCTTTTAAAAGATCTATAAAATGCAAGTTTAGGGTGTTTTGCCAATATGAGATATATTCCTGTTTCATTGAACTTACGTAGCTTTTTACCATAGTTATATCTAATAAATCAGGGTTAAGGTCAGGAAGCTTAAAGTATTCTGACATATTCATTGAATGAGAGTGGAAACTATTTTTGCGATTACAGTGTAAGTCAAATGAGATCAAAAAAGCTTGTTTAACGAAAGATTCCTCATCTTTAGACTGTATATACAAAATGTATTTGAGAATTGTTTGATCGATAGTGATCATCATCATCATCATCATCATCATCATCATCATCGTCATCGTCGTCATCATCAGCATCACCATTATCATCACCATCATCATTATCATCAGCATTACACTCTCGATTGAAATACGACAAAACGTCTAAAGCAAATACTTGTGGCTTCGAGGAAATTAACATACCTCTTCACGAAAGTATATTGGTTTTTTTCTTGAAACAGGATCTACGATGACTCGAAGGATACATTTTTCCACACAAGACATCATGGAGATGTCTGTAAATAGCGGAACATCGATAGTACCAAGTTTGAAAGAGCACTTGGAGCCAAAAGATAACATCAGTGGTGTTTGCACTGACCAGTCTGTCTATGATAATGACGTTAGTGTTTCGGAAGAGGAATTTTACTAAAAGATCTCAGCATGGTTATCATAGGTCAATGGCTGAAGCCTGACTACGCTCTTCCTTGACGATTTTGTTAGCATTTTTAGTCTCAACCATGAAAATCTGATAGTGACATTAGAGTTAAGTTAAAGCAACTAACTACCACAAAAATTCTTTACGCTAGTCACGTTGCTTCTACTTCAACTTCAACTTCAACTTCAACTTTATTTCATAAGACTATTGGTTACAATAGACTGGCCCGCAAAATAGCAATTGCTAATCTAGGCGGACCAGTTAAAAGAAAAATAAATTGAAAGGAAAAGAAAGGAAAGGAAAAGGAAGGAAAACTACAATTTTAAGTTACAATAAATAATATTCTAACATTTGAAGAGCGCCGTGGCTTTTATAGCCAGTCACATTTTATAACTGTAATCCAAGAACTCTGATCGACCACTGACTATAGTTCGAATAGAAAAGTTATTTTTAATTTGTTTCCAGCTTAGTCAGCATTGCTTATAAACGTGTTTTTGTATAAGAAAATATACCCACCCTTCCCCCCTATCCGGGCACCTCCGGAAATCGAGCGGACGAGGAAACTGTCTAGAGACCAGAGAAGCGTGAAATATCATGGGAAAGAGAGGAATAGTGGGCGCGCCCACGAGATACTGTGTAGGATTCTTCACTCTGATCGGGTTAGACTAGTTCTCTATAAGATTGATCAGGTATATTAACAAAAAATTGAAGTGTCAGTGACTTTCGTCAAGATTTTTACGTAAATTAGTGCATTTCTAGATCTTCATTTTTCCTTTGTGCGAATAGGAAAGCAGATATCTAGCGCAAAGATGGATTTTGCTGGGCAATTACATACCTTGATTTGCTTTATACGATAATTAAGATGCAAAAAGAACTCGAAATTCTTCACGTTTTAGTGAAATATTAAGGTTTTCTGCAATCTTTCGGTTATGCACAATAATAAATCAATAAATTAATAAGTTGATTTGCAGAGAGTTGAGGTTTAACAATAACAAATTAAGGTTGATATATTTCATTGTAGATCAACAACTGCCTATAATATTTGACCATATGTACCTAATTTAAAATGCAAGCAGAACATGCAAATAAAGTATTATAATAATGGCGAATCAAACTCTTTGTCTTGTTTCTGTTGGTTTGTTTTCTCAATAAAACCGTTATTACTTCCATTTGCTCACTGCGGTGAGAAATGTGAAGTGGGTTCAAATCCCAGTGTCCCGATGCTATATTTGGGTTGAGTTTGTTGATGGTTCTCTATCTTACTCCTAGAAATTTTTCTTGGAACTCAAGGACACATTTCAACGAGCTACTAAGAATTAAGTCCTAAGTGTTTCGAGGGTAATTAAGTTAATTTTTTTTTGAGAAATCTTTACACAAAAACACGATAATATAACTCGGTTGCTACTTCTAATATTTATCCACCGGATTCTGAGTGATCAATCCTGTGGAAAGTGTTCTTGACTTTTTCAGTGCCACAATGAGAGATATGTTCAAATAAAGCTCATGGCTATGGAATATACAAAAATTATAATATTTTGCGAGAGTCGCTGGCAAAATTACAATAATATTAGGACACTTAACATAATTTTACAAGGCCATGAACAAAAACAAAACCATTGAGGACAATATCTTGCTATCTTGACTGAACAAGCTTAGTCCATAAAGGATTAATTATATGACCAAAAATAAACGTTTTCTTGCAGGACCCTGCTTGGGCAGCCAATCAAAACAAAGGATTTGCTTCATCTTGTCAGCTTGCAGATTCAGTCATATAACAAAAATAGATACGCATGTGCTATAACTTTTTTGTCAAGGCATTAAGGAATATACCAGTTTATTAAATGGCTCAGTATTCTTTAAATTCTCTATGAAAATGTTACTTACATTTCTTGTGCCTGGCGTCCCCCCTCTCAGTTTTCCTCCAAAATTGTGGGTAGTCTGGTTATAGTCTCAATGTATGCTAGCGCCAACCTTTATTAAGATATAAACAGTGAAGAAGTAGCTATATTTAATAAGATGCTACCAGATGCTTTGAGAAATTTTTTTTTATGAAAACAAAGAATTGCATGAATATAAGACCAGGGGAATAAGGAAAATATGCATGAATTTTAATTCATCTTGTCAGCTTGCAGATTCAGTCATATAACAAAAATAGATACGTAGTGAATATATTAAAACAGACTCGTTACAAGAAAAGGATGTCATCCAGAAATAAGCCAAAACATTGCAAATTTTCGAGACAGAAATATAAATATACTACCCACACACTTTTGACTAGTCAAAAGCATAATTAACAATTACCTAAATAAAAAGTCATACTAACAAAAGGTTAATACTGTAGAATTATCAAAATGGTAAATGTGGATCCTTGTGTAACACACTGGCTAGATGTCTTGCAGTTTTTATGCTCATGATGCATTAGTAGTGGGCTTACATCTTGTAAGACTGAGTTAAAACTCCAGCAAGATGGCATTACTAGGGGATAAAAATTACAGGACACCCAACCAGTGTATTATTACACTTGTAAAGCCAAAAAGAGCTCTCCGATCCTCGTCTATTGTCTGTTGTATTTATAGTGAGGTGTAATCCTTATAACCACCTGTATAACAGCTGTTCAAAATGTCTGATTAGTAAAATATGCAGCAGGGTGTGTCTTCGTGTTTTTCTTTCATGTTTTCTTTTATTTAGGAAGAGGAGAACAAGTACCAAGTGTGACTCGAGCCCCGGTTGAAAGACGGATTGTTTCAGGTGGACAAATTCCAGTAACCTTTGAATTTGTTTTCAAGTCACAATGGGCAGCAATAACATGGGAGAAATCTTCCAAAGGCATTACAGTGCTTTCAGCATATTGTCACACTCTTGCAATGAAAACTTTTTGCTTTCCTTTTTCATGTTAAAATCAGTCAGTCATCCTTTGGGGGTCTGAGACAAAGTGTGAAGAACACATACCCAGTTTACACTCTTTCTTTTCTATAAGACCGTTTTTTTTTTTCCGGCCCATGCTACTCATGCTGAATATTCTTATTTTTCTGCCGATTTGAGGCTGAAAATATTCTTGTGTTATTCTTAAATTTCGTTTCCGTTTTAGCATGTATTGAGTTATCAATGTACCGTTCATAGAACTGTTATCTTCACATGTGAAAATATCACTGTTGCTAGGGCTATATAATAAATGCTGCCTTTCACACCAAAAAACT